TATCTATATCTAAAGTATATTTATATAAACATTATATATATATATTGAGCTATCTATCATGTATCTTTAAAAGACTATATATGTATATGTTTTTCTATATCTATCTATGCATATGTGTTGAAGGCTTTGTCTCTCGATATATATATATATATATATATTACTCCATATATTTTATATATGTATGTGTGTGTGTGTGTGTGTGTGCGTGTGTAGCATAGTGTAAATACATTTACTCATGAGCACTCATGAGTCACTCATGAGTCACTCATGAGTCACTCATGAGTCACTCATTTACTTTGTATATATGCACATGTATATAGATGTTCCCATCACGCATACGTGTATGTATGTGTCTATATATACCTATATCTACATAAACGTGTTGCTCCGGAGTAAAATGTTACTCCGGAGTAAGTATTACTCCGGTTAAATATTACTCCGGAGTAAATATTACTCCGTTTTGGAGTAAAATTTTACTCCGGAGTAAGTGTATTTGTAGTAAGTAAGTATATTTGTCACGGTGGTCTATCACAGATATTATGTGTAGATATATCGTATGTGCATATACATGAACTTTGGAGTACGTATGTATGATTACTCCGGAGTAAGTGTACTTGTTGTTAGTCACGTACGTGTGCGTATCATGCGTGCATACAACGACACAACGACGCAAAGACAGTAATAGTTTCGTCCGACTTTATTGATCGTCTCAAAAGTTATGTGAAACATCAGGGACAGATATCACCACACAGAAAGTTGTACTGCTGTATTACTTCAGAACGACGTAACCATATTTTTTCACCAATGTCTGCTCTGACACCCAGTTTTTGGTGTATTCGATGTTATAACTGTAACGAGCTCGAGGCAACGCAGCAAACTCTACTAGATAAAATCTTCTGCCAGCGCGTTTTGTCTCTTTGATTACGCGTTGAGGGACATCGCCCGGTTCGTTAGGCAGTAGAATGGACCAGTCTCGATAGAGCGTCCACTCTTCCTCGTCACCGCTGTCGTAGCCGTACTCTTCACTGTCATCAGATGAAGCCGGGTCGGAAGACACGTCTGAGCTTGCATCGCTCTCAGAACCACTTTGTTCGCTGTCGGTTTCTGTTGTTGACTCTGCCTCCTCAGAGTCCATCACAGACTCATCTTCGTCTGAGACGCTTACTTCATCTTGTGACATGATTGAGTCCTCATCTTCGTCATCATCGTCCGTATCATGCTCCTCATCTTCGTCATCATCGTCCGTATCATGCTCCTCATCTTCGTCATCATCGTCCGTATCATGCTCCTCATCTTCGTCATCATCGTCCGTATCATGTTCATATGACATGTCGGAGTCGGAGTCAAAAACATCGCGCACCCTGCAACACCCCGTCTCGGGGTCTACGACAACTTCCCCCGAAGCAACGACTGACTCGTCTCGGTGTTTTCTTTCTTGATGACGATCGAGGTTGAACTTCCGAGCAAACTCTTGATCACAGATCTCGCACACGAAAGGCATATTTCCTTCCTCTTCGGTGGACAACTTAGAAATGAGGCGATGTGCATGTGCACACAGAGATATACCATGTATTTAAAACATGACTCAAGATATCAATAACTATGATTTATAATATGTTTAATTCATGGCATGTGTTGCGTATGCAACCATACGAAAGTGTGCACCTTTTTTTTCTTTCATCGTCACTTACTGCGTACCTAAACCTAAACTGTTCATGCACGCAACCACTCCACGCTACTGGGAAGGAAAAGAAACGACAAACATCAAGTGACATCATGTTGAGATTTTTATTTTACACCGAAACACTTTGTACACGTACATTGGCAAATAGACATCTTGCAACATGTTGCAAAGCAATATGCATCTACAGTTCAGTGTTCGTAGATCATCAAGAAAACAACTGACTGGTTGTAGCTTCATCTACGACATACCATTTACTTGCATGTGTAGACATGACAGCAATTTACAGACATATGTCGTTCGTCCGTCAGGTTGACGAGAACATATAGATATGTATTGAATATATACATTATATTTCTAAGGGTAGGGTTGTGACACCGTCATCCTGAACTTGGCGTTTTGGGTAGAAATAGGAAAACGCGTCTCGTGTCTGGGTATAAGTCAACATTTGATTGTCCTTAACACGGAAACCCCGGTTCACACCCTGGCCACTTTTCTGTGTCTGCAAGACTTGCAGGTACTTCTGGAGGGTGATGTCATTGTCTCTTTTGCTTACGCCTTTACAACTGAATTTGTCGTTTTTGTCCTCACCACCAAAACAATAATAGGTTTTTGAGCACAGCCCGACAATCGCATCCCCCGACCATTCTTCTTTGAACAGACCGGGGGTACGCTTGTCGTAAGCCGCGTGTTCGGGGTCTTCCGTGCGAGGGAACCAGAGGTGTTTCTCGTTTTCGTACCTCTCCCGCATGTGGGGTTTGATGACATCCTCCAGCCTGTCCGCAGAGATGGCAATGTAGGCCGAGTCTGTATCCATTTCGCAATATTGGAAGTCAGACACGTCTACAAACTCAAGCATAAAGTCGAAATAAAACTGCAACATACGCATTTTTGCATACTGGTAGACATAGAAGCCAATTTGAATAGGCAAGTCGAATGTGATTTTGCGCTTGCCCGTCTCGATTTCGTAGAAGCCATCGACAACCTCGGAAACCTTTTTGAAACAAGGAGAATTAATCCTTTGCGTTGCCCCGACGGCACTGTCGCAGTAACACACGTCAGATTGTTTCTCTTTGTTAGTGACCGTCTTGCCATAAGCCGAATTACCGATCAGCTTCATGGTGTCGGCAATGATTTTCTTTCTATCGTCTTTGTCGCCAGCACGACGAGCATCACTGACTTTATTGCCAAAAGGTTCAAAACACTTTTTGGGTACGTATTCCAACACTTGATAGACATGGGTCACTTCCAAATCGTGATCCATATACCATTTCAGCAAAGGTGTGGCCAACAGAATCTTTTGACCAAACATACTGCCAATGAGAGAACGTCTGGGTTTGGACATGACGCCATGAGTTTCGGCGTACTGTTTCATGAAGGGCCCGACGTCGTCGATGGAAATATCACAGTTCTTAAAGATTGGAGGCATTTCTGCAAAATGTGATCTGAGATGTGCTGGGACTTGGATGTCACACTCGACTACACCGAACAAGTCATCTTTGCGGACGGCCTGGAGGATTTCCGTTTCGGACATTTTGTACCTGTTTTCGGTAGGCGTCTTGCGCTGAGCCAAAAAGGCAGCCACCTCCTTGGTCCTCTTTAAGTCTTGCCACTCACACTCCCACATTTCAATCACATTGTACCCCTCCCCCCTCAAATACTCGGTCATTTCTTTAGTTTCTTCTCGTAATTCGGCCATAGACTTCTGCCGTCTTGGATTGGTATCGAGACCCTGAGTGAGACAGCAGTTGTGTCCGTGCCAGAAACACCCGTGGAATTGAAAAATGTCTCCGGTGGCGGAACAGAAGCCGTCCACGGGTACTTGGCGATGACCAATGCGTTTTTCGGTATTGTTAAATTTGTTCCTGATGACGGTGCCACGGCTATGCCCTACCCGATCTAACCATTCTGTGGCCATACGACCACGGGAAGGCGCAGAATATTCCTTCACGAACCCGGTCTCTGCCTGCCGACGAATGTAATACCCAGTCGGCATATTTTCCATCAGAGACCATAGATACAAGGCGTTGGCATCAAAGCCAATCACCTTTTGACAGAGCTTCGGTTGTCTACCACTATCCGTCATTTCTTTCTGCCGGATAAAGGTCTCACCCTTCTGATGATACCTGTGGAAAATGATGCTCGGCCCTCCTACAATGTTTTGCTTGAACAACTTGTACACTTCCTCGTTATCTACTAGTGTGAAGTACGAGTCGGACTCTAAGTTCATAAAGAGATACTTGAGTGTTAGACCGGGGACGCTGATGCCGTCCTTCAGCATGTCTATCCCCAGGTCCCTGTAGAAGTCGACCATCTTCTGGATCGCCTCCAGCATGGGGACGACGTCTTTGTTGTTGTACCTGTAAGAACAGAAGAAACGACGTTCATTATTCTGTGTACGGCCGTCCATTGATCTGTAAAGAAAGTGAGCAAACCCAAAATAAAGATAGGACCAAAATAAGACATACACCTACCATATCAAGAAATCCTTTATGGTCTTCATGCCGCATTCTTTCCAGACCGTCTGACAGTGGGCGTAGTCGTCTGGGGAAATGTGTGTCCCGCGCAACCTGCTGTAGAACGCGTCAGCAGGTGGAAGGCTTGTCTGCTCCAACTTGCTCAGGTCGTCCATCCATTCGTACCTGCATTTAACGGGAATGCAATGCGGGTGAACAACACGTAGTCCTGTTTATGTCAATGTCTACGAAACAACGCACAGAGTCAAACAACATGAAGAACAGAAATGACCGTGATTCTGTTCATGAACAAAAAATGACTCACGGAAAGAATCCCTTCATCTCCTGGCACTCGTACGCCTTGAGCAGGTGGGAGTAGGAGAACCCGGGCGCCACATAGTTGATCAGATCCAGGAACTTGAGATGATCCGTCTCGATGGACATGAAGCTGTTGTTCTTCTTGATGGGCCGTAGGTTCTCCTGTTGCGTGTGCAGGAGGGGGAGGAATACCTTCTTCATGGCGTTTACATCGTACTTCCCAGAATTGAAACCAGCAATGGGTAACTGACGAAGGTGGTGGTGCAGTCGACCGATCAACTTCCTGATCCAAGTTCTCCCTTCTTGCTGTTTTTCTTCACCCTCCCCGTCTTCGTCATGTTCTTCATCTTCCGACATGGTGGAATCTTCATCGTCTTCTCGTGACGTTACGGAGGATTCATCTTCTTCTAGCATCACGATGTCACCTTCTTCGTCTTCTCCGTCCAACATCGCGACATTTTGTTCTTCCGGTCGAGACATCGTGAAGTCATCTTCATCATCATCATCATCGTCATCATCATCCGGGTACAACGAGTTTATCTGTTCAAAAACGTCGGCAAAATGTTCTTTCAACCCCTCGTAGGCCGCCTCACTCATCTCCTGCAGATACTCCAACATCTCGTCAGCAACAGCGGACGGATCACCCTCGGAGACGAAGCATTTAGGCGTCGTGAACCCTGGTACATTGGAGCAGACACTGACGCTTAACAGTTCGTGCACGGCCTCCCACGACATCTTGTCGGTGTTTTGATCGGACAGCGGTTTCAGGAGACACTCGATGTCGTACGTCGCTCGGTAAGGGTAAAAGCGATCCTTTGGATCAACGTGGATGCCGACATCGTCCAGTTGTTCAAATATGGTTTGTCTCCTGTTGTACGCCCCGCCGGGATAGACGTACTTTACGGCCCCGGTGCACTTTGTCTGATGATACCGCAAGTTGTAGGCGCGCTTAAATTTCCTCCCGCACGTGGGGCAACCGTACGATTTGGCGTACGTCTTAAAGTCCTTGATGTAGCTGAAGTGATCTTCATACAGGTTGAGGTACATGGTGTTTTTGTAGCGGGTGAGGGGACGTCTGATCAGTTCAGCAAACAGTGTGTCGTTTTCCTCGTCTTCTTCGTCACTGAGCCGAAGCGAGTAGACGTAGACGTTGACTTGAAAGAGTTTCTCTATGTCGGCCAAGTCTCCTAGGGCCACCCCGCAGAAGTCTTTCTCGGTTAGGTCCGCGGCTTCCAGGTACTGTTTGAGGAGCTCCTTGGTCGCCGTCTCGAGTCGTTTTGGATCCTTGCCGTAGTGTGCAGCAAGACAGCGAAAGAAGCACAGGTTGTCGTCGAATGGTCCGTGCATTCCGCTTTGAAGAACATTGATGGCTTTGTTTTTGACGATGTACGCGGGAAGGGTCTTGGGTGCGCCGATGGGATGGTCTCCCAGTTTGCTGACGTAAAACTCTACATGTGGAATGGCGTGTACGATCCATTTGGAGTCCGGACGCTGCTGTCGGCAATACTCGACGATGTCCTTGTCGGCTATTTGGTCCAAAAATCTTTGCATGTCTTCCTCGTTGTCGACTATCACCGGGTTCTTCAGGAAAGTGTGGTTATTCTCGCAGGGGTAGAAATAGCGCAGATCACCTTCGTTGTTGCGGAGAACGAACCCGTACGACAAGTTGATTTTGAACGACGTCTTTTGGTCTCGGAAGATCGCCCACACTTTTTCTGCCAGGTCGTCCACGTTGACGGAGTTCATTCTAAAATTATACCTGTCATGGACCGATTTCCTCTCAAAGTGTGTACGGATGTTTGACCATTTTCTTCTGTACATCTGTTCCAAAGCTGGATCTTCGTCTTCTAAAGCCAAGTCCTCCGGTTTGTCCAATGGGTCTTCCTGCACGGGAAACGGGTCGTTTGGTGACAAGGGCTGCACTTTTCTGGCCCGTTTCGGTGCACTCTCGTCGGTGTTAGCTGAAAGTTTTCTCTTGTGGCCTCGGGACGTAGACGGCACGTCTTCTGGGTGTACCTCTTCCCTATGACGATGCAGTTCTCCTACCGTGTTGAAGGATGTGTTACACAAACGACAGCGGAACGATAGTCTTGTCGGATGTTTGTCATGTGTTCGTTTGTGTTCTAGCAGCTTGTCCTTCCTGACAAACTGTTTCCCGCAGAAATCACATTCATGCTGGGGCGCGGCAGATGTGTGCTTCTGCTGATGGTGTCGATTCATGGCGTCGCGCCGGGTGAAGGTCTTTTCGCACGTCTCACAACGGTAGGTGGTCGGTTCTGAGCGCTCATTGCTATTGTCGGAAACCCTAGCAAAGGTATTTCCTCTGAAATCAGACTCGTGGTGGGATGCTCCAGCTGCATGCTGTTTTTCGTGGCGTTTTAACGCGTCGAGACGGGAAAATGTTTTGTTACATTTCTTGCAAATGTAACTGGTAGGTAATGCGGTGTGCGCAAAATTTTGGTGCCGCGTAAGCGACCGTTTTTGAGTGAAGTCTTTGCCGCACTTGTTGCAATAAAATACCATGGCTGAACTGGCCATTTCAGTGAGATGGTCTGAAACACAGTAAAAAAAAATGCCTTTCAAAACTCAATAACAAACAACTCAAAGACTGTGGCGATAAGTCGTCTTATCTTAAGAACACTAAGTTTGATAACCTTGCTGGGACCCCAACCAACTCCCAGCATACGGACACGCTCTCGAATAAATTCCAATGGTACCCATGGTACACGCAATGCATAAAACGGTACTACAAACTTTGCAAGACGCCCGACAAAAGTAAAGGGCAAAATGTAACGACATACAACATCTTATGTATAAAATGTGTATATAACCGTGCGTTTTTCTACTACTTTATCTTTGACTGTTTGGGGAAACCATTTCACCGGCATCCCGCCGTGGACCTCTACATTCTTGCATTTGGGCGAACAAAAGGGTTCGGTTCAAAAGGGCAAATAACTGCATAATCTTCTTCTCCCAGTGGGCGCCTTGCGCCTAGTGGTCAACACACGGTCTCCAAACGTTTTGTTAACATGGTTGAGGGAGATGCCATGGACAAGTTGACAAGAAAATAATGTCTCTCCATGTACTAGATTGTCACTATTCTTAGTTACACGTACGTGCATATCAGCACAAAGTCGATAACACATTCCGCAGATTATGTGCCACCCTGTAACCGTTAACCGTTACCACTATCGAAAGAGATTGAAGGAGATTAAGAAAGATGATGCGAGACTCACCAGTTTGACGACGGTCCAACTTGCTGAAGTGTCGGTCACTGGAGAGAGAGGTGGTGATCCTTGCCGTTCCGCAGCTCCCGACGAACTGAATTCTTGCCTTCGCTGGCGCCTTTTATCGGGCACTCGGACACAGGGGCAAGTCCGAACACGCTCTGAGACAAACAATAGATGACGTCGCTTTTCCCTGACTCAGCGGTCCCAGTGGGGACAAGTCCGCACATGACAGCGGAGAACAAAGGTGCCGACACAGGGGCACCCGGGTTTTTTTCCGAAGCAAGGATATCAGGATATACACGTTTGCAGGTTTGTTCTTAGTTGCTGTTACTCGTCACTGCACTGTATACGGAAAGAAACGACCCTTCTATACGTCTCTGTGACAAATCGGCATGATAAACTTTTATCAGGCCTTTGACAATAGAAACAAAATGCAACGATCGATGAACTTATTCTCCCAACCCGTACAGGGGTAGTGACATCCTTTGATGTCGTACGGTGCCGAATGTTGGCAAGGGGTTTAGAGGGCGGTGTTTGGTCCGGGAATGGCGGTTTCAGTCCGGGTTGGTTGCCTTTGTTGTGTAAAGACGAAAATTGTCCTCCTCATGAATAATTCTTTTGTGGACGCATCGGTCAGCTGAAGGCAAATATCTGAAGGCGATGCGTGCGCGATCTTAGTGTCATAACTAAACAAGCTCTTGCCGACACAAAAGTGTAGAAAGCATCTAGAGATATACATTTGATAAACATGCCTGGTACTGCACCTTTTCAGATTAAAATTTTCTACAAACATGACAAATCTATTCCAGCAAATGCACAACATAGAACAAAATATTCACACTGTCATACTACTGTCTTTTGCGCCGTTGTGTCGATGTATACACGAATGATGCGCACACATGCGTGACATAGATATGCTATTTACCACTATAACACTTACTCCGGAGTAATCATACATGTACTCCAAAGTTCGTGTATATGCACATACGATATATCTACACATAATATCTGTGATAGACCACCGTGACAAATATACTTACTTACTACAAATACACTTACTCCGGAGTAAAATTTTACTCCAAAACGGAGTAATATTTACTCCGGAGTAATATTTAACCGGAGTAATACTTACTCCGGAGTAACATTTTACTCCGGAGCAACACGTTTATGTAGATATAGGTATATATAGACACATACATACACGTATGCGTGATGGGAACATCTGTATACATGTGCATATATACAAAGTAAATGAGTGACTCATGAGTGACTCATGAGTGACTCATGAGTGACTCATGAGTGCTCATGAGTAAATGTATTTACACTATGCTACACACACACACACACACACACACACACATACATATATAAAATATATGGAGTAATATATATATATATATATATCGAGAGACAAAGCCTTCAACACATATGCATAGATAGATATAGAAAAACATATACATATATAGTTACTTTTAAAGATACATGATAGATAGCTCAATATATATATATAATGTTATA